GAATTTATCCCAATGCCTCCAATTTTAATCTACTACTACATGGATCATTTTAGTCTTTTCCTGTTGCTTATCTGTAAACTTCAACAGTGAGAAAGTTGGTTCCCACCATCTACCATTTATTTACTTAAATTGTTCAGTCCCAGTATACATATATAGCAATAAGAATACACACTCCCAAGGTAAATTATTTTGTCAACTAGAGTACACTGCTTATAGAGTATCTTTTGCCTTTAATCTTAGAGTCCTTTAATCTTAGAGTCCACTGACTTTGACCTAATAAGTATTTAAAGTCACTTTACTGAGCGTCTCTCCTCCTTATCCCTTTCAGTAGTTTCATATATTTCAGATTGTTATCTGTACTCTTTGAGTTTAAATAAATGTAGAATATCATATATCCAAAACCCATTCCTCCATTCCACTATTTTTTTTCTCCATTTATAGAATGTCACATACTTAGAATGTAGTATATAGCCTTTTCAGAGTGGCATCCTTCATATAAGCAATATATGTAGTACTTATCCATGTCTTTTCATGGTTGAATAGCTATTTCTTTTTAATTCTTTCATTTTCTACAATATTCCAAGTCCATGATGTATCACTATCTGTGTATGCACTCACTTATTGAACAAAGCTGGTACAAACAGTCATGAGGGACAGGCATGGTGGAACATGCCTATAATCCCAGCACTTAATAGGCTGAGGCAGGAGGATTGCTACGAATTTGGGGCTATACAGTGAGCTCAAGGCCAGCCTGCACTATGAAGTGAGACCTTGTCACAAAAACAGTCATGAAAGCTGTTAGTGTTAAGAATTAAGTTTTCCAATCAGTTGGGCTAATATTTACTTTAAATTTAGTAAGAAAGTGTCAAACTTTCTTCCCAAAGTAGTTTTATGAGTTCTTCATTCTCACCAGCAAAGAATAAAAGTATCTGAAGTTCCATGCATCTTCAGCATTTGTTGTTGGTCAATGTTTCAGATATCAGCTGTTCTAACGAGTCTAATAGTGCTATCTCACTGTTATTTTATCTCGCAAATCCTAATGACAATTATTGAGCAACTTTCATTTGATCATTTGTCATGTTTACCTCTCTTCTTTAATGAAGTGCCTATTTAGAAATCTCATTTTTATTTGAATTTTTATCTTTTGTTGAGTCATAAATTCATATACATATTTCAGATACAAATCCCTTACTAGATATTTTACTATCATCCTTCTGTGGTTGTCACTTTCTTGATAGCATCTTTGAAAGTTTTAAATTTTTATGAATTTTTCCTTTTTCTTTTTGTTCATGGTATTTTTGATGACAAATCTTCAAATGAACAAAAGAATGAATGAACAAACCTAAAACACTGTTTACCCCCAAGATCATGAAAATACATGCCTACATTTTCTTCCCAAGAACTGTTAGCTGGGCATCGTGGTGCATGCCTGTAATCCTAGCACTCAGGAGGCTGAGGCAGGAGGATTGTTACAAGTTTGAGACCAGTCTGGGCTACAAAGTGAGCTCAAGGCCAGCCAACTGCATAGTGAGACCCTGTCCTTAAAAAAAAAAAAAAAAAAAAAAAAAGAGGAAGAGGAAGAGGAAGAACAAGAACAAGAAGAAGAGGAAGAGGAAAAAGAAGAAGTAGAAGTAGTAGTACTAGTAGTAGTAGTAGTAGAAGAAGTACAAGTTTTATCTTTTACATTTAGTCTTTGAACCATGAGCAAATGTTTATTTGATTTTGTTTTGTTTTGTCTTTTTGAGACAGGGTCTCACTATGCAGTTCAGGCTGGCCTTGAGTTCACTTGTAGTCCAAGCTGGTCTGGAACTCACAAGGATCCTCCTACCTCAGCCTCCCAAGTGATGGAATTAACAGGCATGCCCCACCACACCTGGCTTATTTGGGCTTTTGAAAATCCTTTCAACTATTGATTTATTGCCATCAAAGTATAATTTTACATTTTTTAAAAAGTAGTAATGGATACTGAATCCAAGACATTCACACTGAGCTACATCCCCATCTCTTTTCCTAATTTGTTTATTTTGAAACAGGGTCTTGGCTAAGTGGCCTGGAATGGGCTTGACCTTGCTATCCTAACTCAGCCTCCTAGTACTGGGATTATAGGCATTCCTCACTACACCTCACTACTTTTGTAAAGTATTTTCCTAATATTTTATTTATTTTGATTTTACATAGAACTGTTTCCTCCTAGACAATGTTGACTGTAAGTGAACAGAGACCCTCACTTTGTTCTTAATCCTATAGGGAAAGATCTAGTCAGTCTTTCACCATCAAGTATGACATTAGCTGTGGATTTTTCATATATAAAATTTGTCAAGCTTTATTCTTTTCTTAGTTTCTTGGGTAGTTTTATCATGAAAGTGTGCTGAATTTTGCCAAATATTTTTTCTGTGTCTATTGGGATGACTAGGTACATTTTTAAAAATTCAACTGCTACGGTGTTTTTCATGAATTGATTTTTAAATGTTAAATCAACTTTGCGTTTTTGGGATAAAACTCATTCAGTGACGGTATATTTCATTTTTTTAAGGAGATAAAATGTATAACAAAATATACCGTTTTAGACATTTTTAGGTGTACACTACATTAAGTATGCTCACAGTTTTGTGTAACTATTACCACTATTTCCAAAATCTTTTCATCATAACAACTCTGTACTCATAAGTAATAAACTCATTTCTCTGGCCCTTGTACCTCTATTCTACTTTCTATCTCTGAGTCTTTGCCTATTCTAGATACACCATAAGCAAAGATTTGTTTGTCACTTTTTGATTTATTTCACTTAGCATAATGATTTTAAGATTCCCCCATGTTGCAGCAGCAACAGAATTCCACTCTTCTATACTTGAATTATATTTTAATGAATCTAATATATACTATACCACATTTTGTTTATTCAGTCATTAATAGACAGTTGGGTTGCTTCTTCTCACTAGCAATTTTCATGTTTGTTTTTTTTCCCCCTAGGGGGGTATCTTTTACTATTTTTAAACATTTGGAAGTGCACAGTATTACATAATTCATATTGTGGTGCAAATATCACCACTAACCATTCACAAAGCCTTTTTCATCTTGAAGAACTAAAATCCTCTTTTAAATTTTTTTTTTGGCAGAACCAGGGATTGAACTCAGGCCCTTGGGCTTCCCAGGTAAGCACTTATTGTACTGAGCTATCTCCCCAGCCCTTCACTAGCAATTTTCAATAATACTGTTGCTGTCAAGCCTTTTGCCAATTTTTAATCAGGTTGCTTGTATTTTTTTCTTTAGTTGTAGTTGTTTACATATTTTGTACATTATTCTTTTATCAGATTTTTATTTTGGTGACTTCCAATTCACCAATTTCTTTTCTCTTTTACTGCCTATGCTTCTGTTTTTTTTTTTGTTTTTTTTTTTGGCATTTTTACTGCAAGTTTTATTTTTTATTTTATTTTTGTTTTTTTGTTTTTATTTTTATTTTATTTTTTTTTAAACATTTATTTATTTATTGTGTGTGTGTGTGTGTGTGTGTGTGTGTGTGTGTGTGAGTGACCAGCTCAGCCCACCAGGGGGCGTGGCTGGCTGGCATGTGGTGCTGGGGGATCAAACCGTGGTCCCTGTGTTTTCCCAAGCTTGTTCCAAGTAGGTGCTTTAGACCACTGAGCCATCTCGCCAGTCCCTTTATTTTTTTTTATTTTTTTTTAAATGCTTCTGTTAGATTTAAAAAAATCATTGTGAATTTAAAGGTCATGAAAACTTTCTCTTGTATTTTCTTCTAAGAGTTTCATAGTTTTAACTGTTAGGTCTTTGACTAGTTCTGAGTTAATGTTTGTACGTGGTGCAAAGTAAAGTTCTAATTAAAAACTTTCCCCCCAATATGGGGAATTAAACTCAAGAAATTTAGCACTGAGTTATATCTACAACCTTTTTTTTTTTTTTTTTTTTTTTGAACTGGGGATTGAACTCAGGCCCTTACACTTGCCAGGCTCTCCAACCTTTTTAAAACAATTTACCTTAAGACAGACTCTCACTACTTCTGTATGTTGCCCATGCTGTTCCTAAATTTGTAATTCTCCCACTTCAGCCTTCCAGATGCTAAGATTACAGGTATGTGATACCACGCTCAGCCACAATTTTTTTTTTTGAACCAGGGATTTGTGGAGGACCACCTCAGCAGCTCTCCTTGAAAGAAGAGCAACTGTCTCCATTTTGACTGAGCCTGACCCTATTTCCTTGTATTGTTATGTACAGAACTGGCTAGGACTTCTGTTTATCCTTCAGTTGGCCTTAAGCAATGTGTATTGGTCTAGCTGAGGTGCTGGTGATAGTCTTAATGTGAGCTGGGTCGAGACAGGACGGTAGAGCTAATACTCCGCGGCGCCAGCTGGGATCGAGCCTAGAGAGAGAGGCTATGACTTCCTGGGGCTTGAAAGGCTACACCAAAGCTGAAGCACCAGACATACCAAAAGATACTATATAATGCAGATTACTCTCTCTGCATATCCTCTTTGCATATCGCAGAGGTAAATTTAGGCCACCCACCAAGCTTAGCTATAGTATTCTCTTTCCCACAATTCTCAGTCAATCCTCAAGCCACTCCCCCACTGAATAAAACTGGGTGAGGCCCTGGGTCGCTCTCTTGGTTCCAGAAAGCCATCTTCATGGCTGGACTTAGAGCCCTTTGACTCCCTGATGACTGAAGATATAATTTAGTGTCTTTATTTTCTCTGTGGGTTGCACTGTAAGCGGTAGACTGGATTCAATTTGATGGGATTCCAGTAACGTAACTTTGGGATTACAAATATTGGCTTCTTGGACTGAGAGGAGGACTTGGAAGTGTCTCCTACAGGGATTGAACTCAGGCCCTTGCGATTGCCAGGGAAGTGCTTATTCCACGAAGCCATCTCCCCAGCCCCTATTAATTTTTGTAAGTAGCAGTTAAAAAATAAACTTAAGAGGATAGGGAGATAGCTCGGTGGCATAAGAGCCTGCCTGGCAAGTGCAAGGTCCTGAGTTTGATCTCTGGCATCACATAATACGACATGACATGCTAGCCCAGAACTGGGCATGATGGGGCACACCTGTAATCCTAGTACTAGGGAGAGGCTGAGACAGGAGATGAGTCTGAATGAGTCCAAACTGCACAGCGAGAACATGTCAAAAAATAAATAAACTTAAAGCACCTGCTTAGGCAAAGCACAGAGGCTGGGGTTCAATCTCCCATGTGCTGTGCTGGCCCTGTTCCAGCCCTGGCCCCTGGGGAGCACTAAGATGATGATTGAGACTGGGTGTGGTGCTGTAGTGAGGCTGAAAACAGGAGAATCACTGTGAGTCCAATCTATGTAGTGAGACGCTGTAGACCCTGTACTAAATACATAAAAAACAAACTTAAGGGCTGGAAATATGGTTCAGAGGTAGAGCAGCAGCACACATACAAGGCCTGGGTTCAATTTCTAATACCACAAAAGGGGAAGAGAGTAACTGAAAAAACCGCTGGAATTTTGATAGGGTTTGCACTGGATGTATGGAATGCTTCGGGTAGATGAGAATTGCACATACCAGTTAATAAACACATGATGTCTTTCCACTATGTTCTTTTTGATGCTATTTTAAGTGAAACCACTTTCTTAATTTCCATTTCACAGTGTTCAGTGCCACTGTACAGAAATGCAATTTATTTTTGTGTGATTTTTTTTTTTTTTTTCAAAAACAAGGTCTCCCTTATGCAGTGCAGGTTGGCCTTGAACTCACTATTTAGCCAAGCCAGTCTCAAATTTGTGGCAATCCTTTTGCCTCAGCCTCTTGAGTGCTGGGCTTACAGGCATGCTGTATCTATAATTTTGCTGAATTTATTCCTTATCTCTAACGGCTTTTTTCTTTTCTTTTTTTTAAGTACAGGGTCTACAGGGTCTCACTATGTAGATCAGACTCATAGGGACTTTCCTCTGTTTTACTGCCTCCCAAGTACTAGTATTATAGGCGTGTGCCACCACCACACCCAGTCTCAATCTGCATCTCAATGTGCCCCAGGGACAGGGCCAGCAGGGCATGCTGGGGATCTAAACCCCAGCTACTGCACTCTGCCTAAACAGGAGCTTTAGAACACTGAGCCATCTGGCCGGCCCTCTAATGGCTTTTTTTTTTTTTTTTCCTTCGGAACTAGGGTTTGAACTCAGGCCCTTGCACTTGCCAGGGAAGCACTTATTCCACTGAGCCAGCTCCCCAGCCTCCTCTAATGGCTTTTTAATAGGATCTTTAAAGTTAAAATAATGACTAACTATATATACTAAAGTGTCCTATCTTCAAATTGCTTATTAGCTGTTTCACTGAAGATACAAAGTTGCAGTGATCTTTTGAGAAGGGAATTAGTTTATCCTTAGAATACTTTATGGAAAAAAAACAAGCCGTGCTTACCTGGTATTAAAATATGTATTTCTAAAACTATTATCCCCAATGAGTTTCTTTTTCTTTCTAAAACATATTAGAATTTTCAAAGTAAAAAGAAAATGATTATAAAAATGATTAATTGCAGGAAGAAAAATGAAAAGGATCAACTCTACTTTCTTTTTTTGGTTTGTTCCCCCCCCAAATGCCTTCAGGGCAGGTTTGACTGTCTTGAGTCTTAGGGATCAAACTACAGCAACCTGAGCCTGAATGCTTTGTTGAAGCAGCCACTTAAAGAACTGAGCTAAGGGGCAGGCCCCCCTCTACTTTCTTTTTTTGATAAATATTTAACAGTGCTATTGGTGACATCAAAGTAGGCTTATAAAGTAAATTTTCTTTATGAATAAGCTATTCTAGAAGAGCTCTCTTTATCTTCAATGTATGTGCTATCAACCTTTTATAGAAAGATTAATAGAATCTTTCCATTTATAGAAAGCATTTATAGAAAGATTAATCTTTGACTTATGATAAATATATGGGACTTTACAAAAAATGAGGACTATCTAAATGAATTGTTTCTAAAAGTTGTCTACGTTGGCTTTAAATCTTGTGAAGACATTGCCCTCCAATTACAGAATACATACAAAGTTTTCAATTACCTCCACAACTGTCAGACTAACTCAGATTTACATACCCAGGATATTGCTCCTATTCTAAATAAACTGTTTACAAATGTTACACTGGATACTTTTGTCACCTTCCTCATCTCTCCTTACAATTACTGTTTACTTTCCTTACAATTACTGTTTACTAAGTAAAGCTGTCTGAAGCAGCTTCACCTTTCTGAGTACAGTACAATGATTTACATCTTAGGTTTCTTTACTAATCCATATAGTGAAGACTGATGAAAACCAAGTCACAAGATGAAATTGATATTTCTATGACTACAACAATAAATCTCCTAAGATACTGAAATAAAGCAGTTGTACAAGAAAGGATTATCTTACTTAAATAGAAAATAACATTACTCATTTTTAATTCAACATCTTTCGCTCAAGAGGAAAATATACACCACAAGGTAAAAAGTATTAAGTCATTCATCTTACCTGAGCACCCACTAGTTGCAGTAATGCTGAGTTCACAGGGAGGAGCTCAATGTCTGTATTGATAGTGGTCTGGTCAAATGGGCAAGCCTTGCGGTGGAGTTTATTCAGGCACATCTTGCAGACAGTATGGCCACACCCCAAACTGATGGGTTTTCGAATTGTTTCGTCGAAAGTCTGAGTGCAAATTGGGCAGGAAAGGAAATCCGTCCATTGTGGAGCTTGTACAGGCATTGCTTCTGGAGTTACAATTCACTGACACACACACACACACAAAATCTAAAGCAAAGATTCCACTGGAATCAAAATCTTTGAAAAAAGTTTATCTTTTTTTAAAATTATCTTCTGCAGATACAGTCAGCACATAGTGTGAAATTTAACCTAGAAAAACAGAATAAAAATTAGTATATATCTTTGTTTTAACTAAACTTTTAAAAAGTAATCCAAATTCATTTATTTTCTATCTATAACTTCTGAAAACATTCTTAAATTATAGTAATCCATCTTTTTGCACCTTTATAGAAAGAATTAAAGCCATATTAAAACATCTAGTCTTGTTCCTTCATTTTAGAGATGGGCAAGTCTCCAAGAAAATACGACTTGCCTAAAGAACCATGTGTGGTGGTATGCAGCTTGGGAGGCTGAGTCAGGAAAACGGCTGTGAGTTTGAGGCTAACCTGGGCTACCTGGTGAATTCAAGGCTAGTCTAAACTATATAACTAGACCTTTTCTCAAAAAGACAGACAGACACAGAGAGAAAGAGTCAGATAGACAGACAGACAGAGGAAAGGAAAGGGGAGGGAGGGAGGGAGTAAAAGCAAGAAGGAAAGGAACTCACTTAAGATGACACTGTAGTTAGCAACAAAGTTAGATCCAGGACTTGTAAGTATCTTAAGTTTACGTCTCTGACTTTTAAAATACTGTACATGCACATACACATACAGACATGTATATATTTAAGTTAATCTTTCAGGGTGTTGGGAACTTAGTTCAGTTGTAGAACACTTGCTTAGTGAGTCTGAGGCCCTGGGTTTCATCTCTAACATGAAAATGGAGAAAATGTTTAAGGATTAATTCTTTTCAAGCATGCATGAGGCCCTGGTGATTTGATCAGCAAGAGAATGACGAAGACGTAATAAAACAAAAACCTTTGTAGAGGGGCTAACAATACTCCTCACCTGGACATGTTCCATGGGTCTCTTCAGTGGTGATAACTTATCAAGTTCTTTGCTTATGTGCACTTTTATTTACGTATGCTATACATCAATAAACAGGTTTTTGAAAAATTGGTCTAAAATAAAAACTTAAAAATACTTTATCATCAGATTTGGTGGGAATGAGCTAAAAAAGAGTATAAGGTTTTTCTTTTAAGTTTTAGATATTCTTAAATTTGGTATATAAGAAAGTATCTTTTTAAAGCTCCCTGTATGGCCCATAGCAGTTTGTTTTATATATAGTGTGTGTATTGCTAGGATAACACAGTTAAAATATTAATACAAAAGATTTTTTAAACCCCTAGTTGGATATGGTAGTGCACACCTTAATACCAGCACTAAGGAAGTTAAACCAGGAGAACTGCTGTGAGTTTAAGGCCAGGCTGGGCTACACAATGAATTCAAGGCCAACCTGAACTATGTAGTAAGACCTTGTATATATAAATATAAAAAAGACTTTAAATTTAGTTGCCTTGAATCTTAGCAATGTTTGTAATCCCAGCATTCTGGAGGCAGAGAAAGTAAGTTCATAAATATGAGCTGCAGCCACGCAATTTGGTGATGCTTTTTCACAAACTAAAGAGGTAGGAACATAGCTTAGTGCTAAGGTCCTGGATTTGATGATAATCACTTAAAAAAAAAGAATGAGGGTGGGAAGATAGCTTAGCAGTCTAAGCACCTGCCTGGCAAGCACAAGGTTCGATTCCTGGTACCTCATGCCGCTGGTCACCGAAATAGGGCATGGCGGCACACACCTGTAATCACAGCACTGGGGAGGCTAAAACAGGAGGATTGCTACAAGTCTGAGGTGTGTAGCGAGATCCTGTACCAAATGTATAAAAAAAAAAAAAAAAAAAAACCTTCTAGTATGTATCATAAACAATAACTGTATTTACTAATAACTTTAAAATTAGAATTGATGATTAAAGTATCATAGGATTAAGTTATTAAAGATTTGACTCTGCTCAGGACTTGGTTTACAAAGTAAAACTAAATCTTACTCATTGATAAAAGGACGACTTCCATTAAGTATGTTAAAAGCTGTTCATTCGTTCAACAAGTACAAACACTATTATTTGCCAGACTGCTTAAAATGTGGGGGAAGTAGTGAAACATGGCTTAACCCATTATAGTTATCTCCCTTTGTGCAGTTAACAGTCAATTACAGTTCAACTTTGGGCTTTTATAAAGTATGCTACTTAGCTTAGTGTGTACCAAATTCTAAGTTTAATTTCCAGTAATACAAAAATAGAAGTTTAACCTCCACCAAAAACCCACTAAAGTGAAAATAGTCCAAAAAAAATTTAATGGTTTATTAGACAGTACCCAAGTTAATTTCATGTCAGTTTTATCTTTAGCTACCTGCATATTTGTTCTAATAGCTTTTATCATAGGGTACTATGAAAGTATACTTTCACTTTTATAGTAAAGCATATTGTTAAAATTTTAATTAATTAATTATTTATTT